TCTTTCCCTGGAAAGGGAGGGCCAGGGGTGCTGCTATCTCAAGGTGCACGGTCGTTGTATCTCGAGGAACACCGCGATACACGGGAATGTACTCGCCTCGCGTGGGTCGCCTCGGTCGCAGTGCAAACACGCAGGTGGTACACGTGACAAGGCGACAGAGCGCGTTCCGCCGCCGTCGGGCGCCCGATGTCCGCTCATAAGCGCCTCGGACATGACGTCTCCCATCGATTGCGCTGTGGCTACGCGCCAAGGCGGAGCCAAGACGAAAATCTACACCTTTTCCCTCTTTCATCTGCCCCGATGCTTCGCGCTGTCATTGTCCGCTTAGCACGACGGAGAGTTCAGGTTTGCCTTCCCTTCGTAACGCCTGCGCCGAGCAGCCGTACGAGAAAGTGTAGTTGGGAGAAGCCTTGCGTGTGTGTGATCCTCATTCCGTTGTTGGTCGATACGATGACACGCTCGTTGTTTGACTTGCGAAGGCAGTGGACGATACTTCAAGAAGATACTGCGAAGAAGTGCAGCGAGGCTTTCCACGTGGTTTGAAGTCGCCGTTTGCGGGCATCTTCGACGCCCAATCGACACGTCGACGCCTACAGTGAGATGTAGTGCGACAGCGGATGGTGGTGTTAGTTGCCTCTGTGTGTGTTACGTTCGCGCAAACCCACACGTGATATTTTACTTCTAAGCGTACAAAGTGTTTTCGCAAACAAAACTTGTCGGGAGCTATAGCGCATGGTTCAAACTTGTCCAACGAAATTTTCGTACGAGTCAGGCATTGTGGCATTTCGCACGTATTATGATGAATACAGAGACGCCCTTATGCGAGTATTAGATTGCGAAAACAACCCTGAAAACTTTACGAATAGGCTATATGAGCTCCACGAGTCGCTAAACAATCGGCAACGCAGTGCGTTGTAGCGTAAACAATGCACTCTTTGATGTGTACTCAATATTCCACGTAATTAATTATTCACACGTTGACGTGGTGAAATTTTACCTCATGAATCGCTCGTTGTTCGAGATAACCTGCATTCATGCGGCAATCAGGAGAAAGAATTAGCATCGAGATTAGGAGTTTTTCATTAGGTCTGGACAGTACTAACGACGTAGCAATTATAGCTGACAAAAAGTAAGCCTTACGTAGCGACCATGTTGTTAATAACTGCCAGTTTTCGATTAGACGAAGCCATTTGATCGGCAATTGTCCAGGCTTTATTGAGGTATATAATTCCCCCGTCTCTAAAGTGTCGTGCGCTCGCTTTAAGCCCTGCCAATCGAGACAGACAATCAACTCTCGAAGCTTTGAACATAACCGTACACCATGCATGTTGTTAGCCACACGAAGAAAGTATTTACACATTAGAAACTTGAGCCCAGGTTCAATGCCATACACAAATCACTAGATGGAGGGGTGTACTTTGATTGATGTTTTTATCGACAGATACATGTCTGCCTATGCTCTCCTGGGTTCACCTGCCCGTACACAGTATGTTAGCAGAGCTATATTAAAGCAGAAATTTCTGTGGAAGATTGCTTGCTGACAGCATTGAAATGTCTGTGAAATGGTTGAAAATAATGTAACAACTTGCTGAATTCTTATCAATAAGACATCTTCCTCTGAAATATCTCACTCGTTGAAGTCCCTCTAATGGGGTGATTTTAGTTATGGTAACCTATGGAAAGAATGAGCGGGTGAAGTTTTGGTACCACGCTTTATATTAGCTGTCAGGAGTATTATTATGTACAAAGTTCTGTGTATGCGTAATATCTTTCATCTATAACGTCGCATAAATTGTATGTATACCATGCCAGTCGTAGTGTATTCGAACAGAGCAACTAAAACGCTTCTCAGCAAAACCGACTGGTACATCCTATCTATAGGCCTACCTCAGAAAAATACAAGGACCTAAAAAACACATGAGCAAAGCACAAAAAAAAACAATTAGACATGTGTTAACAGTGCCAGAAATCTAATGAAAAAATTGAGGAGATGACAAATATTTTTCACGCTAGGACACCGCATGCCCCATACATGCAACAGGACCCATTATTCAATGTTGGTTAGGTAGAAACTGAGAGCTACATATTCGCCACCAAAGTGATAGCTTGTTCCTTTCGACGCCTGGAATCTTGCGTCACTTTTTGACATCTCTTATTAGAAAACGCCCCAATATCAGATAGACAAAGAGCTTCCGCTTCAGTCAATAGTACCTCTTGATATATATGGTATATAGAACCTCAACACATATCGAGCCGGGCATCTAGAATCAAGATGTAAAAGGACGGAAGTAAGCATCAGCTTTTTTTCGGACTTTGGCGAGTGATTCGTTCCCATCGCTTCGCGGCCACTCGGGATCGAGCGGCGAAATAAGAAAGCATTTACTGTTTTCGCGAAGCGAGTGGGGGAAGGCTTCTCCAGTAATGATAGCGGGCGTACACGATCGGATGACAGCGACGGTCACCAGAAGGCGCTGTGGGTGCTCCTTAAAAGTGGCCCCGCCATGTATGGCGACACTGTGGTCTTCCTGCGGGACGATGTAACCAACGCACGCCTATAGGACGGGAAAGTGGCGCGTTTGAGAAAAGATTGGGATAAGGTAGATGAATGCAAGTAGAAGCTTCGCAGATTAAACGAAACGAAAAAAAAACAGAGTAACCATGTTTGTTGCTTCCGTTAAAACATGTCCTCTGTGATGGAACCTCAAGAGAGCGCTGATCGTCTCGTATAGGCGACGTCGTAACATCGTTTCTTTCTTTATTTTTTTTGCTACGATGCTGCTTTTGTTTCATCGTCTACTCTTTTCTTCTTCTTCTTTTTTTCTTCTTCTTCTTTTTCTTTTTCTTTTTCTCATTAAACTTTGCGCAACATTGACTCAAGAAATGACGACCCTCTGAGGGCTCCCAGATAGACTCTGGCCAGTGTAGTTCTTTTTTTCTTTTTCTTCCAGCAAAACTCATATCGCGATTCGAGTTTGTCAGCGTGTGTGAGTCTTCGTTCTGCTTTTCCTTCGCCTACGCATGCAGCGCCTGCCTTGCTTCAACGAAAGACGGCCCAGTTTTATCCCGCGACGGCACTAGACGTCGGAAACAAAGATATAAAATTGAAACTGAAAGTACGTTTCATGAGAAAATGTATATTACTCGCTCGTCGTCCCATAAGCGCTGCGTCGTGCTTTCGTCTAATTTCGTGTCGTTTCCGTCTCCCTGCTTTCTTTTTTTTTTTGTAAACTTTCCTTTTACCTTTTTCCTTCTAGACAGAAAAGCTTAATCAAAAGGAAAGGCCCCCCAGAGACCAGGTGTGCAGGAATGGGGAACTCCTATGGTGCCCCTCTTGCTACTCGTCTTCGTTCACCGTTGCGAGGAGGGCTTAAGGCAGTGCTTTAGAAAAACAAAAGTAAATAGGCAGTTTAATCCACGCTGCTTTTCGCTTATTTTAGCATAGACAGATGGACTCGAACATCGGCATTAAAATTATCTGAATGTTCGTTGTACTTATAAAGGAAGAATGCAGGCAGGTTAACCAGAAATATGTTTCGTAGACTGAGAAAGGAGATTAGAAAGGTGAGAAAGAGAAGATGGTAGGAAAGAATTTAATGAGCAATGTATGCACTGCCGTGTATGTGTCTGTTGCACCATACAATAGCCAAAGGCGTTCACACACGCTCCGTAGTCCTGAGGAAACACAAAAGTGCCTTAACTTCCTGGTGGGCATATATGAGCAATGGGCAAGGTGCTCGAACAGCCCCGCCGTGGTGGTCTAGTGGCTAAGGTACTCGGCTGCTGACCCGCAAGTCCCGAGATCAAATCCCGGCTGCGGCGGCTGCATTTCCGATGGAGGCGGAAATGTTGTAGGCCTGTGTGCTCAGATTTGGGTGCACGTTAAAGAACCTCAGGGGGTCGAAATTTCCGGAGCCCTCCACTACGGCGTCTCTCATAATCATATGGTGGTTTTGGGACGTTAAACGCCACATATCAATCAATCAATCAAGGTGCTCGAGCAGCATCGGAAGCACGTACAAACCCTTCCAGGACGTTCGAGATTTTAAATAGCGCATTAAGAAAGCGGCATACAATTAGCATTTGTTACGTGAGCCCACTACTCACTTGGTAAATCAATCAATCTCCCACTTATTCAAGTGTCAATACCATAAGAGTCTTCGTTTCACTGGGCGTAATATACAGGTGCCACCTCAAGATACCGATTTTAAAGAACACTGCACACACCGAAGACGCGTGAAGTGGTCATGGCAGCGGCGTAACGCGGGCTTATAGATCTTGCATCGTGCAGTATATTAGTAATTATGGAGATTTAATGTCCCAAAACTACCATGTGGTTTAAAGAGACCCTGTAGTGGAGGGCTGCGGCAATTTCGACCACCCCAGGTTCTTTAACGAGCACCTTAGTCCTAAAGCATTTTTCCCTCCATCGAAAATGCTGCCGCCGCACCTGGGATTTGATCCCGTGGCCTGCGGGTCAGCAGCCGAGTGCCTTAGCCACTAGACCACCGTAGCGGGTTTTGCGTTTCTCAAGCATTAAACGTCCGGCGGAGAAATAACGGGCTATCAAGCTTACTGTCCCATTTCCACTAACATGACATCCATCTTTCTTTATTTGTTTTGGTAGCAGTTCTCAGAGTAGCAGCGAACGGGTGGTATACAAAGGCCTTAAAGAAAAAAGATGATAACCGGTGCCTACATTTATCTGAATCAAATTTATTTACCATATCGTCGGGTTGCGCGATTCATTGTTCCGTAGCAGTTGGATAAAATGATTTGTTCAAGTCGTCATAGGTATGTCGCAAGCTTTATAAATGAGGTCGTTAGACGATGAAAAGTTTGTGGATGTAGAATTGTGTTCCTTAGGTGTGTGAAGCTATAGTGCGATTCGGGCAAAGCCTCTTTCCTACTTCTTCATTTATTTTCATTCACAGTAGCTTGCGAGAAACGTATCGTTTGATGACTCTACTTGTCGCTTTTTTCCTCTCTTTCTTTGTGCGCAGGTATATACAACGGTGTCAGCACTCCGGACCAGGCACCATCGATGCAGGCGATACTTACCTAAGGCCCGTGTCATCGCAAGGAACGCGCACCGGACCTTCTTCATTGCTGGTGATTGACTTTGCGGTTGGCTCGATGCGCCGTTGGCTGCCCATACTGTAGAGTCAACGCTGAATCTATACTCAAACCCACTAGCAAAAACTAGCACGTAAGCCACGCAAGGTTCAACGTGGAGACTACTAGACGAACTGCGGGAACTTGCAAAAACTTCGAAGAAGAGGAATCAGCTGAAGAGCTCGGCTTGCTTGTGCGCTACCTCCTCTGCTGGATGTGTACACGTTTGAAGTTGGTGACATACGAGTCCCGACGTTCGTTTCAATTCATTTCAGATAGTCTCAGGAACACGTGTTAGATTTTGTTATGTGGTCTACTTACAGTGCACTTTCGAGCCGCCGAAGGCGCGTACGGAATTCCTAACTTCATTGCTACCGCCTCTAGGCAAACTCTACATGGTACCATATCCTATAACTCCTCCACTACGAAGGAAGTAACTACATATTTCGGAATGAGCCGTAATGTAATCAATAATAGCAACCAAAATAGTTAGTGATTGCTACCAGCTAGCTGTAATCATTGCCGCTTTGTCTGGAGTACTTGTGAGCATTTGATACCACGTAAAAAAATTATTCTGTAGGTACGGGAACACTAACATTTCATCAGGCAGGTCTCTCTACTACGTGTAAAGCAGGAACATAGCCCGTAAATACAGCTTCGCACAGTGTGATGAAGCATATTTAGGAAATAAGCAACGTGAACAGCACACGCGCACATTTAATGTTTCTAACTTTCTTTTTGTACAAAGCGTTGCTCAGGCAAACATTCGCGTGGTCTTCATCTAGGTCCCGCGTAAGGGAGAATTTCGCTCCTTAGGCTGCTCTCGGTGTACTCTTCTTTCTTCGAGGTGAAAATTTTATAACCACACATTGCCTGAACTTTTTACGCAAAGGTCACTGTCTACATAAGCCTACACATATCTGCCTCTCAGAGAAACCACTCCACTCCCTGACCTTTTCTAATAATAAGAGTAGAAAATTTATGTAACTACGTTGCTATATAGCATGCGCATACACATAGAGGTATCTATATACAATGTACCTATATACAAAGCACATTTCCGCCTTATTGTCTTCAGCAGAACCAAAGTTCTCGAGATTGAGTACGCGAGTGCCCACTTTAAACTCTGGCACGCTAGGTATGCTTCTATATAATACCTGACCAAACATTACGAACCTGTAGCGTGTGGCAACTTGAAATTAGGAACGGTTTTCATGTAGATCACTCCAACTCGATCTCGCGGCGATCTCTTAAGTATGTTGAGCCTGCACAAAATACTGGCTCGTTAGTTGAGATACTCGCTTTTAGTGTTACGCCCGCAGATTTAGCTGATGGCGTACAAACAAAGGATATTCCCCTAAGCCGACCAAGATGGAGCTCAGCAACCACACTTCATTCTTTTATCTCAGTGTATGTAGCGGACTCAAACTGCCTTTCGAATTTTTAGTTAGCTCCATTAAAAAATAACTTGGCGAAGGAGGCACGCTTGGTGTCTTTATATTGTGCAATACCGTGTATCTGTACAGAAGATATCATGAAGAAAACATATCCTTCTCTTCGTTGCAATGAACGCAGGTGATAGTTATAATATGCTACCTAAAAAAAGGTGTATTTTTGTTCCACAATGTTTGGCGGGAGACGTCAACGCCATAGCACGTTGATTTTTACAGAATGCCATTAAGAATTTATACAACTGTTAAATGATTTATGCATGCATATCGCATACGGGTTGTGAAAGTGAGTGATTGCAGCACGGTTCCTTGACCAAACATGCGGAGCCGGATTCGCTGTCCGAACACCAAGCTGAAACATCCTCTAAGAGACAACGTTAAACAGGCCTGGTAATCATGTACTCTGTATCAAGCAAGTGAATTTGCCTTCGTACACCATATGACCAATAAAGGCGCGTCATAGCATTAAAAGCAGAAACGGCGAACTAGCAAGGACTGCCTCATGGTGGGCTTGTTGTGGAAAATGTTATTCCGTGCTAGCCTAGACGTGAATACGCTTGTGTAACATGCTTGGAAGATAAACAATGAAGCACAGAGCAGGCTGGTACATATCTTAGGCTTAATTAGCAAGCTGAAAATATTTTTTTTATTTTTATATTGAACTCTGTAGCTTATCTCATAATTCATATTGGACATATTATTTGCTGCGTGCTAGTTTTTTCACCAAACTTAGTGCTTTTCACGTAATTGAATATACACACGTGAAGTTAAACTTTAACTAAACGGTTGTATTAGCCTACTGTAAATAACAGCTCGCCGTGTACGTGAGTCCGATCAAACAAGGGGCGACAAAAACAAAACTGCGCTGCATACTAAGCCTACGCTGAAAAGGCCAGAGTTGGATTTAGTACTCCGGTAAGTAGTCCGTTATTTTCTCGATGCTAACTCGTATGTCTTGCCGTTGCCCCCCATGTGCTCTGAGCATGGCTCTATAAATTAGCTGCACTTACAGTATTCCTCAGACTTGTTATTCAATATAAAAAAAGACACCTAGCTCCTTTACAAGCCTAATTACTGTTCCTGCATACCCTATATATAAACGCACTGAAACAAATAAATACACAAACAACCGAGCATTGCCTTTTTAACCGGTGGACTCACAAAGCGGGACCAACTATTCTGAAGCAGAACTTGGAAAAAAAAAAGGACGAATTAAGGCGCATACGCTGTGAAGAAAGAAAGTGCCCTGAACCACCACTGTGTGCGGTTGTAAGCGTGAGTTGTCCGCAGCATCGAAGAAAAAACCAGCTACTACTCCCGCCTCGGTTTACGACACCTTCCGAGCAACTCGATGGAAAGCAAACCATGGAGGTGATCAGAAACACCCAATGCCTTGCTTGTTCGTGGCTAAAGCAGATCCCTCCTCATCACGCTAGGTTCGTCAGCATTCGCGGGCCACGCAACGGTGCTTCTTTACCAGCTGCTGTCGCGCCGGTGTGATCTCTCGCCTTTCGTGACACTTACGCGCCACTGCTGTGCCCGAGATCATCATGTCGAAGTAGTCTACGAATGCACCAAACGACGTCGACACAGTGGCAGTACGAAGACTTCATCTGCCTGTTTTTCACTGCGATTCCACAGGCTGAGGTGTGCGACGTCGGCTCTTCGAGCTCCGTGACGTCATCGCGTCTGGTGTCACTGTGATGGTGACTCTCTTTCGTGCGGTGTTGTGCTGGCGCAAAGCGTCAGACGCTGGTGTGCTAAGCGTGAGTACACACGTATTAAGAGACGTTCTGGCGACATTTTCGGTTGTGCCTGCCCGCTTTTGCCTAGGTCGCCAGAGAAGACATCTCAGCAAGCTTCCCCACGGTGCCGTCCTCTTGTAGTGCGCGATGATTGGAACAATTCGCGAGAAGAAAAATAAGGCACGTTACAGTTTATCGCGATCATGCGCTTACACGAAGACACGCTTCTGTCCCTCTGTGTGGTTGAGGCGTTTTCTTCACATCACTCACTCTGCATGTTCAGTTTCAGGCTGATGTCTATGCTTGTATATCGATTACTTCGAAGCGACGCTGTTGTTCGCCGTGATACTGATACTCAATATGCTTAACGAACCGATTTACTGCAAACGTGCAGGGCTTTCTGAAGGTAATGATATTAACTATCACTAATGAATGTACCAGTGCTATCTTTTTCTTAGCATCCTCAGCATTTGCTGCAAGGTTTGGATCTCCTTTCAGCCCTCATTTGTTGGAGTGAATGAAATCGTTTCACTGAACCAGAACATCCCACTCATAATCTACACAAACTAAGAAGATCGTGTGGTTCTTATCCTTTGTGCAAACAACCTAAGAAACGAGTGCGAAAAACTACCCTGTATTGTAATCTCTCGTCATAAAGAAAAAAAGCTCTGTAGGATAAACTTCAAGGGCACACTCAAATATTTAGATAATCCTTCAAAAGTATTTACTTCTTTTTAAAAATTGTAGCGAAAAAAAGCCTAAATTCAACAAATAGCGACGAACTTTGGTATGCTCTTTGATTGTTGATAACATTTTCAACCTGCTAGAACGTCTAAAGATCTTAAAATACTGAGCTCTTAAAACAACGTTTCAGCACTGAAGATGCATTCATGTGTATTGTTACAACTGTGACAATTGACAAAATTGTAACAACTGTCTGATTCAACGACGTTGTTTGATCAAGAGATCCTATGAGAAGTGCCGAGTTTCATGCTTCTTTGACATCGTATTCTGTTTTACTGGATACACTAAGACCGCTCTGAATCAACTATTGGGCCAACTTCTACGCCTGTCTTCTAAGAACTAGTACTTTATTAAAGACATACACTCAGCAGGCGTATTGCAAATTACGTCCTTCCGTCGATCTGGATGGTATTTGAGACCTCTTCTTCAACTCATGCTCAGTTCCTTGCGATATATTTTCAACCAATAATTTTCCCCAGTTGATGATATTTCTTGTGATAAACGAAGGTTGTAGCTTTTTCGCGGCATTTAAAGCGAATGATTGTCCGTTATCACACTGTATACAGCTCATGCTGTCCATTCAAGCTAATTTCTACATCTGTGTCCTACGACAGAACCCATATAAAACATACAACAGCCCCTTTTTTGAACTGAATGACTCGTAACAGGTCGTGGTTTGACAGACTTGCTTTGTTCTGCCTTGAAATTGTGTTGATTGTCCCTTATTTCGGCACGTATTCTCCCGCAGCCACAAAACCAAGCTCGTAATTCTACGCGAACTTTAGTCTGTCTTGAAAGAACGCTGAAACAAATGATGGGTTACGTTAATTACACTACGTTCTTGGAACCAAATATAGATTTACCTGACCGTTAGGGAATCCCTTCATATAGGCCTGAATGACGAGCCAGAGAAATGGCACCACCAGTTTTGGATAGTGTTAAACTTAGCAACGCGCGTTGACAACGTGCGCTGATTGCAATCCAGGCGTGCGTATAAGTACTGATAACAAAGACATTTACATTATGCGAGGAATAAACTTAATAGTATTGAATAACCACGTATCAAAATGGCTAAGTGTGGGACGTAACACCAATGTCGCCATTTCGGTGATTGTGTCACAAAGCATCAAAGTAGGAGACGTCGATATCGTAACTTTGCTCCACGATTCTCTGAGTTCAAGGGTTAGTGTCAACAGTATCTACTACTCATAACAGTCGATTTTCCTTTCTCATTTCAATAAGAATAGTTCACGTGAGAGTTCCATTTCTCTTATTCAGGGTGTATTTGTTATGATGTCGTAATAGAGTTCGGTAATGAAATTGGCCATTATATGAGAAATCGTCATTTTCGCTGTCCGAAAAATTGTGCATGTGAAGTGACGGGAGTTGTTTCTTTTCTTTGTTTCTTTGTAAAAAAAAAGAGTTAGAACTAACAGTGGTGACAAGATTCTATAGTGTATCCCTCACTGTGCTACAAAAAGTAAAACTTGAAAAATAAACTTTGTGTGGGCTGTAGAAATGCGGTGCTGTTTGTCTTTGACAAGCTCAAAACTTAAACGCACTGTACACTTCTTTGAGCTGAATGCAACCTGCTGGCCTCCTATTTTTCTGCTTTGTTTCTCAACTATTGCACAATACAAACGTGGTATAAACGAAAACAGCACGTTTTTTTTTTTACCGGATGTATTTCCGCTGATAATATCCGCATATTATGCGAAGAAATGCTGGCACAGCGGATAAAGAGGAATGTGTTGGTACATCAACTGCTTATTCAGAGATTTACATAAACGACATCAGTTTCAAGCACAGATCATACATAAGTACACTGTATGCTAGCATAGAACAATAAGCGAAATTAGT